TGGGGGGGTCCCCCGCTGTCCCCTTGCTCCAGCTGGCTGCTGATGGTGTCACTTTAGGGGCTCCTGTAGGGAGGTCACCGGGATGTGGGGGTGTCACAGCCAGTATTCCTGATACTATTCCTGCCCCACATAGGGGCTATGCCCCCCCACCCCATCACCCATAGGGGTCCATGGGGGAAAGGACCCCCCTCAATGACTCCCCTATGGGGTCCCGTGGGTGCTAGCCCCCTCCCAGGGAGTGGGTCCCGTTCAGAGGCAATCTTTGGGGGGCACACACCATGGTCAACCCTATAGACCCCCCCATCCCATCCTATAGAGCCCCCCTCCTATAGACACTCCCCATCCCATCCTATAGACCCCCCATCCCATTCCATAGAGCCCCCATCCCATCCCATAGCCCCCCCACCCCATAGCCCCCCCATTCCATCCCATAGACACCCCCATCCCATCCTATAGCCCCCCCATCCCATTCCATAGAGCCCCCATCTCATCCCATAGCCCCCCCACCCCATAGCCCCCCCCATCCCATCCCATAGCCCCCCCCCATCCCATTCCATAGAGCCCCCATCTCATCCCATAGCCCCCCCACCCCATAGCCCCCCCCATTCCATCCCATAGACACCCCCATCCCATCCTATAGCCCCCCATCCCATCCTATAGACACCCCCATCCCATCCTATAGCCCCCCCATCCCATCCTATAGACACCCCCATCTCATCCCATAGCCCCCCCACCCCATCCTATAGACACCCCCCATCCCATCCCATAGCCCCCCATCCCATCCTATAGACACCCTCATCTCATCCCATAGCCCCCCATCCCATCCTATAGCCCCCCCACCCCATAGCCCCCCCCCCCCCCCCGGTACCTGCACTCCGGGTTCCCTCCGTGGCGCGCGGGTCTCGCTCCCGCCGGGGGGCGCCGGGGCACGGGCAGCGCGCGCCCAGCTCCAGCTGCAGCGCCCCCTGGAGGCCCGGCACGCGCAGCGTCACGCGCCTGCGCGGGAGAGGGCACGAGGCGGCGCGAGCCCGGACCGTGAACGTCACCTGGGGGGGTGAGCGGGACACGACATGGGGTATCGCGATATGGGACATCGCGATATGGGACATCGCGATTTGGGACATCGCGATTTGGGATATCGCGATTTGGGATATCGCGATATGGGACATCGCGATTTGGGATATCGCGATATGGGACATTGCATATCGCGATATGGGACATCGCGATTTGGGATATCGCGATATGGGACATTGCATATCGCAATATGGGACATCGCGATTTGGGATATCGCGATATGGGACATTGCATATCGCAATATGGGACATCGCGATTTGGGATATCGCGATATGGGACATTGCATATCGCAATATGGGACATCGCGATTTGGGATATCGCGATTTGGGATATCGCGATATGGGACATTGAATATCGCGATATGGGACATCGCGATTTGGGATATCGCGATATGGGACATTGAATATCGCGATATGGGACATCGCGATTTGGGATATCGCGATATGGGACATTGAATATCGCGATATGGGACATCGCGATTTGGGATATCGCGATATGGGATATTGGGATATGGGATAATGGGATATAGGACATTGGGGTATGGGATATTATGATATGGGATATGGAACATGTGGATATGGGGACATAAGGACACATGATCCCCCATACCTGTCCCAGTGTCCCCACATCCTCCATTCCTTCCCCATATCCCCCCACCATCCCAATGTCCCCCAATGTCCTCACGTCCCATATCCCCATGAACCCCAGGCCTCCGTATCCCCATGTCCCATATCCCCATATCCCTTATCATCATACCCCCATATCCCTATGTCCCATATTCCCATACCCCATATCCTCACATCCCCATGTTCCCCAGTTCCCATGTCCCCTATCCCCAAGTCCCACCGTATCCCCATACCCCATATCCTCACATCCCCATGTTCCCATGTCCCCTATCCCCACGTCCCACCATGTCCCCATACCCCATATCCTCACATCCCCATGTTCCCATGTCCCCTATCCCCACGTCCCACCATATCCCCATACCCCATATCCTCACATCCCCACGTCCCACCGTATCCCCATACCCCATATCCTCACATCCCCACGTCCCACCGTATCCCCATACCCCATATCCTCACATCCCCACGTCCCACCATATCCCCATACCCCATATCCTCACATCCCCATGTTCCCATGTCCCCCATCCCCACGTCCCACCATGTCCCCATACCCCATATCCTCACATCCCCATGTCCCCATCCCCACGTCCCACCATGTCCCCATACCCCATATCCTCACATCCCCATGTCCCCCATCCCCACGTCCCACCATGTCCCCATACCCCATATCCTCACATCCCCATGTCCCCCATCCCCACGTCCCACCATGTCCCCATACCCCATATCCTCACATCCCCATGTCCCCCATCCCCAAGTCCCACCGTATCCCCATACCCCATATCCTCACATCCCCATGTTCCCATGTCCCCCATCCCCACGTCCCACCATGTCCCCATACCCCATATCCTCACATCCCCATGTCCCACCATATCCCCATACCCCATATCCTCACATCCCCATGTCCCCCATCCCCACGTCCCACCATGTCCCCATACCCCATATCCTCACATCCCATGTTCCCATGTCCCCTATCCCCACGTCCCACCATGTCCCCATACCCTGTACATCCCCGTCCATCCCCATGCCGCCCCCCCCCCGTGCCCCACCTCCTGATTGACTCGAACACCGCTGCAGAGGCCGCCGTGGGGCCGGGGGGGAGCGGGGGCACCCCCGCAGTGAGACTCGAAGCTGAGGCTGATGTTGGGGGGCAGCGGCGAGTGCTTGAGCTCCACGGTGGACGCGAGAGCCTGGGTGGGGGGAGGGAGCACCCTGGGGTGTCAGCACCCATCCCCCCATCCCCCCACCCCCACCCAAGGGTGCCCCCCCCCCCCCCTCACCTCGTAGGCATCCGCCAGGAGCCGCGGGACGTTGCTGGAGTCGCCGCGGAGCTCCCGCACCACGGCCCGGGGCAGCTCCCGGCTGAGCTCCTGCGGGCACGGCTCGGAGCAGGGCACGCACGAAGGGACCCAGCATCCATCCCCCCCCCCCCAGACACACACCGGTACCCAAAACACAGCCCCGGTACCCCAAAAACACAGCCCCGGTACCCCAAAAACAGCCCTGAGCACCCCAAACACAGCCCTGAGCACCCCAAACACAGCCCCGGTACCCCAAACACAGCCCTGGGTACCCCAAACACAGCCCCAGTACCCAAACACAGCCCCTGAGCACCCCAAACACAGCCCCGGTACCCAAACACAGCCCCGGTACCCCAAACACAGCCCTGGGTACCCCAATCACAGCCCCGGGTACCCAATCACAGCCCCGGGTACCCAAACACAGCCCCGGTACCCAAACACAGTCCTGGGTACCCCAAACACAGCCCCGGTACCCAAACACAGCCCCGGTACCCCAAACACAGCCCTGGGTACCCAAACACAGCCCCGGTACCCAAACACAGCCCTGAGCACCCCAAACACAGCCCCGGTACCCAAACACAGCCCCGGGTACCCCAAACACAGCCCCGGTACCCAAACACAGCCCTGAGCACCCCAAACACAGCCCTGGTACCCAAACACAGCCCCGGGTACCCCAAACACAGCCCTGGTACCCAAACACAGCCCTGAGCACCCCAAACACAGCCCCGGTACCCAAACACAGCCCCCAGTACCCCAAACACAGCCCAGTACCCCAAACACAGCCCCCAGTACCCCAAACACAGCCCTGGCACCCCAAAACACCCAGAGGCACCCCAAAACAGACCAGGACACCCAAAACCAGCCCCAGGACACCCAAAACACCCTGAATCACACTGGGACCCACAAAACATCCCCATAGATACCCCAGAGTAGCCCAATAATGGCCCCAGGCACCCCAAAACACCCGGAGACTCACTATGAACACTCAAAGCAGCCCCATGGACACCCGAAACCAGCCCCATATCCCCCAAACCAGCCCCATGGACACCCCAAACCAGCCCTATGCACACCCCAAAGCAGCCCCATACACCCCAAACCAGCTCCATGCACACCCCAAAAACAGCCCCATGGACACCCCAAACCAGCTCCATGCACACCCCCAACCAGCCCCATGGACACCCCAAAACAGCCCCATGCACAACCCCAAAACAGCCCCATATTCCCCAAACCAACCCCATATCCTCCAAAACAGCCCCATATCCCCCAAACCAGCCCCATGGACACCCCAAACCAGCCCTATGCACACCCAAAGCAGCCCCATACACCCCAAACCAGCTCCATGCACACCCCAAACCAGCCCCATGGACACCCCAAACCAGCTCCATGCACACCCCCAACCAGCCCCATGGACACCCCAAACCAGCCCCATGCACAACCCCAAACCAGCCCCATATTCCCCAAACCAACCCCATATCCTCCAAACCAGCCCCATATCCCCCAAACCAGCCCCATGGACACCCCAAACCAGCCCTATGCACACCCCAAAGCAGCCCCATACACCCCAAACCAGCTCCATGCACACCCAAAACCAGGCCCATGGACACCCAAAACAGCCCCATGCACAACCCCAAACCAGCCCCATATCGCCCAAACCAACCCCATATCCTCCAAACCAGCCCCATGCACACCCCAAACCAGCCCCATATCCCCCAAACCAACCCCATACCCCAAAACCAGCCCCATGGACACCCCAAACCAGCCCCATATCCCCCAAACCAGCCCCATATCCCCCAAACCAACCCCATATCCTCCAAACCAGCCCCATGCACACCCCAAACCAGCCCCATATCCCCCAAACCAACCCCATACCCCCCAAACCAGCCCCATGGACACCCCAAACCAGCCCCATATCCCCCCAAACCAGCCCCATATCCCCCAAACCAACCCCATATCCTCCAAACCAGCCCCATGCACACCCCAAACCAGCCCCATATCCCCCAAACCAACCCCATACCCCCCAAACCAGCCCCATGCACACCCCAAACCAGCCTCATACCCCCCACCCCCCCATATCTCCCCCATCCCCACCTCATAGAGGGGCACCACGGGCCGGGTGACAGCGAAGATGAGCTGGATGTCGGCGGCCTCCAGCACCTGCGCCAGGAGCCCCACAGAGGGGTAGTCCTGGGGGGGGGGGGGGGGGGGTGTCTGTGTGTGAATGGGGGGGCGGTGCTGGGTTCCCCCCCGCCCCCGGCCCCATCCTGCACCCACGTGGCGGTGCTGAGCCCCATAGCGGCCGCTGGCGTCCAGGTGGCAGCGGGCGTCGCTGGGGAGGGGGAGGCCCCCGAGCTTCCCGTCCCCCGCCGAGTGCCAGGAGTCGTCGGAGCAGAAGAGCAGGAGCCGGGTGGGGGAGCCCCAGCCCAGGCGGTGCTGAGGGACAGGGGGGGGTGAGGGGGGTGGGGGGGTGGGGGGGGATGGGGGGGGATGGGGGGGATGGGGGGGGATGGGGGGAATGGGGGGAATGGGGGGTATGAGGGGTGGGGGGGGAATGGGGGAGTATGAGGGGTATGGGGGTTATGGGGGGAATGGGGGGCATGGGGGATATGGGGGGTAGGGGGGCATGGAGGATATGGGGGTTTGGGGGGAATGGGGGATATGGGGGTATGGGGGAATATGGGGAGTATGAGGGGTATGGGGGGTATGGGGGGAATGGGGGGCATGGGGGGAATGGGGGGAATGGGGGATATGGGGGTAGGGGGGCATGGGGGGATATGGGGGGAACGAGGTGTATGGGGGATATGGGGGGTAGGGGGGCATGGGGGATATGGGGGGAACGAGGTGTATGGGGGATATGGGGGGTAGGGGGGGCATGGGGGATATGGGGGGAACGAGGTGTATGGGGGATATGGGGGTAGGGGGGCATGGGGGATATGGAGGGAACGAGGTGTATGGGGGATATGGGGGTATGGCGGGTATGGGGGTATGGGGATTATGGGGGGAATGGGGGATATGGGGGGTATGGGGGGAATGGGGGACATGGGGGGTATGGGGGGTAACAAGGTGTATGGGGGGTATGGGGGGAATGGGGGGCATGGGTGGTATGGGGGGAATGGGAGTATCGGGAGTATGGGGGCATGGGGGGTATGGGGGGAATGGGGAGTATGGGGGGTACAGTTGGACATGGGGACATTGGGACAGGAGGGACATGGGGGGCACAATGGGTACAGGGAGACACGGGGACATGAGAGAACATGAGGGACATGGGGGGCACAAGGGGTATGGGGGCCATGGGGCCATGAGGTGAAGCAGGCTCCTGCAGCTCCACTCTGGCCCGCGCCTGTCCCTGTCCCCATCCCCGTCCCCCGCCCCACTGCCCGCCGTGCCGCTCACCCCACACACGGCCGCCTGCAGCACGGCGTCGAAGCCGCTCTCGGGCGCATCCAGGTTCGCGGCGCTTCGCAGCCCCCGCACGCGCTCGGTGAAGGCCCCGGCGCGGTCGCTCAGCGCCAGCTCGTGCCGGAACGCGGCCGTGGGCTCGCACGGGTCCCCCCGGCGCGGGCAGGGCCCGGCCCGCGGCCCCGCGCTGCTGAACGGCAGCACCGGCTTCTCCACGAAGGAGCCCAGGCCTGGAACGGGGACACCACAGGAGACACCACATCGGCATCCATCTGCCGTCAGCCATCAGCTATCGGTCATCAGCCATCCATCCATCCATCCGCATTCCATCCATCATCCATCCATCATCCATCATCCATCCTCATTCCATCCATCCATCATCCATCATCCATCATCCATCTATCCATCCTCATTCCATCCATCCATCCGCCATCCATCCATCATCCATCCATCCATCCATCCATCCATCCATCCATCCATCCATCCATCCATCATCCATCCATCCATCATCCATCCATCCATCCATCCATCCATCCATCCATCCATCCATCCATCCATCCATCATCCATCCCTCATCCTTCTAACCATCCATCATCCATCCATCCATCATCCAGCACCCATCATCATCATCCATCATCCATCCATCATCACCATCTATCATCCATCCAACCCCACCCTTCAGTCATCATCCAGTTGTCATCCATCCATCACCCATGGGTGTCCATCCCCCACCCCATGAGTGTCCCCCCGCACCCCATGGGTGTCCCCGCACCGATGCGGACGGAGGAGCTGAAGTTGCGCAGGGTGTCCATCAGGTCGCTGCCTAGCCCACGGATGGTCTCCAGGTCGTCCCGCATGGAGTAGGACAGGTCCATCAGGTAGTAGAGGTCCACGGGGTGTCCCTCAGGGCGGCGGAACCGGACCTGGAAGCTCTGCTCCTCCCCTGGGGGGTAGGAAAAGGGGGTTCAAGGGGGACAGGGGACACCCAGGCCAGGCACCAGTGTCCTTGTGTCCCACCAGCGTTGGCTGCTCTGGATCCATCCCTCAGCCACCCTCTTCTCCATCCATCCCTCTCTCCACCTTCTCCATCTCTCAGCATCTCTCCATCCATCCTCATCTCCATCTCCATGCCCCCATACATCTCCACTTCCCTGCCCTCTATCCCTCTTCTATCCATCTTTCCATGCTCCATCTCCCTCCACCTTCACCATCTCTTCATTCCTCCCTCTTCTTCTCCATCCATCCATCATCCATCCATTCATCCATCCATCTATCATCCATCCATCCATCCATCCATCCATCCATCCATCCATCCATCTATCCATCCATCCATCATCCAACCATCCATCATCCATCCATCCATTATCCATCCATCCATCCATCCATCCATCCATCCATCCATCCATCCATCCATCTATCCATCCATCCATCATCCAACCATCCATCATCCATCCATCCATTATCCATCCATCCATCCATCCATCCATCCATCCATCCATCCATCTATCCATCCATCCATCATCCAACCATCCATCATCCATCCATCCATTATCCATCCATCCATCCATCCATCCATCCATCCATCCATCCATCCATCCATCCATTATCCATCATCCTCCATCCATCCCTCCATCCATCCCTCCATCCATCCATCCCTCCCTCCCTCCCTCCCTCCCCTCCCTCCCTCCATCCATTATCCATCCATCCATCCCTCCATCCATCCATCCCTCCCTCCCTCCCTCCCTCCCTCCCTCCCTCCCTCCATCCATCCATCCATCCATCCATCCATCCATCCATCCATCCATCCATCCATCCATCATCCATCCATCCATCCATCCCTCCCTCCATCCATCCATCCATCCATCCCAGCCCCATCCCAGCCCCATCGCAGCCCCATGCCATGCTCACCGGGCAGGAGCCACATCCGGACGCGCTGCGGCCTCAACGGGACCTGTTCCCCCCCCGGGAGCAGCTCCAGGTCCTGCAGGACCCTGAGGCTGCCTCGGGGCAGCACCACGGCCTCGGGGGGCACCCGGCGCCTTCCAGCACCTCCGGGGGGGCGCAGCGGGGCAGGAACCCCTGCGGGGGTCACCATCAGCACCCCCCATCTCCCCCCCTGCCCTGCACCCCCTCTGGGTGCCCCCACCCTCCCCGTGTTTCTCACTGAGGTTTGGCTGCTTCCTGGTGCCAAACCACAGCCACCGGGGCGGGGGGGGCACGCAAAGGTGGGGGCACCCCACAGCACACGGGGGGGGGGGGGGTGTCAGGACATCGGGACCCCCCAGGACACTGGCGACCACATGGAAACCCCATAGGGATCCCTCGGGATGCCCCCATCTCACGGGGACATCCATAGGGGCACCACAGGGACCACCCCCCCCGCACATGGGGACCCCGCAGCGCCCCAAAGCCACCCCGGACACGGGACCCCCCCACCCCCTCGGAGGGCACCGCGACCCCCAACAGGGCGAGGAACCCCCAAAGCCGAACCCGGGGAACGGGGGGGGGGGGGGCAGGTCAGAGGGATCAGGGGGTTCAATAGGGGGGTCAGAGGGGTTGGGGGGGGAAGGACCAGGGGGGTCAATGGGGTTCCAGGGGGTACCCCCCCTCCCTCACCGGCTGCTCGCACCAGGCGCAGCGCGGGTGCATCCGGACGCACTCATCGCAGGACGCGAGGAGCTCGCAGCGCTCTGGGGACATGGGGGGGGGGGGGTCAAAGGGGGTACATGGGGCAACCCCCCCCCCCCTGCCCAGCCCCTCACCTGCCCCGGCCCCCCCCGGGACCACCAACAGCAGCGGCAGCAGCAGGAGCCCCCCCGCGCGCCCCATGGCCACGGTGATGGGAACCGGTGGGGAGGAAGGGGGAAGACGGGGCCGCATCCGGCGTGGGGGGGGGGGGGGTGGGATGGGATGGGAGGGGCACCCATGGGTGGGGATTGGGGCACCCATGGGTGGGGGACAGGATGCCGGGGGATCGATCCCCATTGTCCCCGGGGGGAGGGGGGGGGAGGGGGGGTGTCACCCTGCTGTGCCCCCCCCGGTATCACTGAGGGGGGTCCCAGATTGACCTCCGTTATCCGTGTTTGGGGGTGCCACCCCCCATGTACCCCCGGGGGGGTCCCCGTTTCCATGGTGAGGGGGGCACCCAAAAAAACCAGCCCCCCCCATCCACATCGCACCAGGACCCCCCCCCCCAACCACACCAGGAGCCCCCCCCCCCCCCATCACACCGGGCTCCCCCCCCAAATTTCCATCTCTTTATTTTGCAAAAATAGAAAAGTCCCGGGGCCCCCCCGGTTTGGGGGGGGGGTGGGGGCTGTAAACATGGCGGGGGGGGGGGGGGGAGGGTCGGGGCAGCTCGCACAATGTTGGGGGGGGGGAGGGCACATGGCAGGGGAAGGGGGGGGTTGGGCAGCAGCTGGGGACCCCCCCCCCGGGGCCGGGGGCACCCCCGGTGTAAACGCAAAGGAATAAATAATGGGTGAAAAGTGCTGCCCTGGGGAGGGGGGCAAAGGGGGGGCGAGGCGGGGGCACAATTGACCTCCCCCCCCCCCCCCGTAGTGTAACAGACCCCCCCCAAAGGGCTGTGCACCCCCCATTGGTAACAGATATTGGGGGGGGGCAGTTTGGTCCTGGGGGGGTGTGGGGTGGGACCCCCCCAAAGCTGCCCTAAGGGAGAGGGGGGGAGCATTGGGCCCCCCCCCCCCCATGGCATTGGGGTGACTGTGACTATGGCTTGGGGCCCCCACCCAGCAATACTGGGGGGGGGTTGAGGGGGGGTCACTTTGTGCCCCCCCATCTTTGGTCTCTGTAGTGTTCTGTGCTGGGGGGGGGGGGGGAGTGTAGAGCACAGGGAGGGGGTTTGGGGGGATGCCCCCCCAAAAGCAAAACCCACAAGCAACCCCCCCCATATGAAACAATAACCAGCAAATTAATTCCCCCCCTGAATTGGGGGGGGGTCCCACCTGCACCTTGGGGGGGGAATGGGGGTTGCCCCCCCCAAATCCACCCTGTCTCCAATAAATAAAGCCCCCAATGTCGGGGTCCCCCCTGGGGTGACAATGGGGGGGGGTGCAGCAGGGTGGGGGGCACCCCAGGGGTGTCAGGTATTAATGTGGGGGGGGGTTCTGTCCATTGTTGCCCCCCCCCTTAAATCCCCTCCCAAATACAAGGGGGGGGGGGGGCAGTGGGGCTGGGAGGGGGGGGGCTTGGCGTGAAGCTGAGGTTGGGGTGGGGGGCCCCCCGGCCCCCAGCTTAGGCAATAGCTGTGCCGCGGGGTCCCCCCCGCGCGGCTCCATCAGTCTCTGGAGCCCCCCCACATCTGGGGGGGGCACAGTTGGGGTTCCTCCCCACCCGGAGCAAAGGGGGGGGGGGCCCTGGAAGGCTGTTGTGAATGTCCAACCCATGGAGAGGGGGGGACACACAATGCCCCCCCCCCCCCCGAGCGGGTTGGTGGGGGGGAGAAGCTATGGGGAGGAAGGGGGGGGCCCGGGGGACTGTCCTGGGCCGGGGGGGGATCCGGAGGGGGCTGCCCCCCCCCTTCCTCCTCCTCCTCCTGGAACATCTCAGGGTTCTCCAGCATCTCCCGGATGAGGGGGGGCATCGGCCCCGGGATCTCCATCTTCAGCGTGATGGCTCGCTCCGCGCCTGCGGGACCCCCCCGTCAGTGACAGACCCCCCGGCCCCCCCCCGATCCCCTCTTAGCACCCCCCAATGGGAGTTCCACCAGAATCGGCCCTCTAGCACCCCAGGCAAAGCCCCTCCAAGTACCCCCCCCCCCCCACCGCAGGCACAAGCCCCCCTGAGCACCCCATTTCCCCTATGTGCTCTCTTATGGGCTTCCTTCCCCCCCCATACACAACCCCCTGAGCATCACTCCCCCCTAAGAGCTCCTCCCTATAGAGCTCCCCCTATGCACAAGCCCCTGTGAGCATCCCTCCCCCCATAGAGCTCCCCACCCCCCACACAAGCCCCTGTGAGCATCACACCCCCATAGAGCCCCCCACCCCACACACAAGCCCCTGTGAGCATCACACCCCCATAGAGCCCCCCACCCCACACACAAGCCCCTGTGAGCATCACCCCCCCACAGAGCCCCCCACCCCACACACAAGCCCCTGTGACCATCACTCCCCCCATAGAGCTCCGCTCCCCACCCCACACACAAGCCCCTGTGAGCATCACACTCCCATAGAGCCCCCCACACAAGCCCCTGTGAGCATCACACCCCCATAGAGCTCCCCACCCCACACACAAGCCCCTGTGAGCATCACACCCCCATAGAGCCCCCCACCCCACACACAAGCCCCTGTGAGCATCCCTCCCCCCACAGAGCTCCCCCCAAGCACAAGCCCCTGTGACCATCACTCCCCCCATAGAGCTCCCCACCCCACACACAAGCCCCTGTGAGCATCATACCCCCATAGAGCCCCCCACCCCACACACAAGCCCCTGTGAGCATCACCCCCCCACAGAGCCCCCCACCCCACACAAGCCCCTGTGACCATCCCTCCCCCCATAGAGCTCCCCACCCCCCACACAAGCCCCTGTGAGCATCACACCCCCATAGAGCTCCCCACCCCACACACAAGCCCCTGTGAGCATCCCTCCCCCCATAGAGCCCCCCACCCCACACAAGCCCCTGTGAGCATCACCCCCCCATAGAGCCCCCCACCCCACACACCCCCCCCCCCCAGCGCACCCTTGGTGCTGATGCCTCGCAGGTCCGTGATCTTCATGAGCATCCTCGGGAACATGTGGGGCTGGCGCGGCCGCCGCCGCCGCGCGTACACCTTGAGCGCCTCCAGCAGCGGCTCCTGCAGCCGCTCCACCTGCTCCGGCTCCTCCAGGTCCTGCCGGTCTGGGGTGGGGGGGGGACACACACCGGGCTCAGAGCCCCCCGAGACCCCCCGTGTCCCTGCTGCCGCCTATAGGGGTCCCCGAGTCACCGCATCCCAGGTACCGCCTGAGCCCTGTCTCCATGTCCCTTCATCCCCATCGCCCTGACATCCGACCCAGGATCCCCATGTCCCTTTGTCCCTATTGCCTCATCATCCAGATGTTCCCATGGCCTCGTGTCCCTCCACGTCCTGACCCAGATGTTCCTACATCTGTATGGCCTTCCTATCTGCTGACCCAAAGGTCCCCATGCCCCTGCTACTGCCTGGCAGATGTGCCCTGTCTCCATGTCCCTCCATCCCTATGTCCCTGCTACCTCCTGCCCTGAGGTCCCAATGTCCCTGTGCTCCCCACAAGTTCCCACGTCCCCACATGTCCAGCTGGGTCTGGACATCCGATGTCCCTACATCCCCATGTCCCTACATCCCCATGTCCCTATTACCTGCTGGCCCAGAGATCCTCATGCTCCTGGTATTCCCTTGTCCCCACTTCCTCCTGATCCAGAGGTCCCCACATCCCTACTGTATCCTGGCCTGGAGGTCCCCACGTTCCCACTTCCTCCTGACCCACAGGTCCCTATGTCCTTGCTGCCCCATCATCCAGAGGTCCCCACATCCCTGCTGTATCCTGGCCTGGAGGTCCCTGTGTTCCCACTTCCTCCTGACCCACAGGTCCCTATATCCTTGCTGCCCCATCATCCAGAGGTCCCCGTTTCCCCACATCCCTGCTGTGTCCTGGTCCAGAGATCCCCATGTCCCCACGTTCCTGCTACCCCTGACTTGGAGGTCCCCCTGCCCCTGCTTCCTCCTGTCCCCGCAGCCCCGGGCTGGATGCCCCCATGTCCCCATCACCTCCGCAGATGAGGCAGATGGCACTGAGCAGCCCGGTCTCGGTGTCATCCATCTGCAGAGGCAGGAGCTGCCCGGCGAAGGCGAACACCAGGTCGGTGAGGGGCCCGAAGCCGGCGTTGTGCATCTGGGTACGGTTCAGGGTGAGCCCGTCCGAGAACGTCATCGTGTCCTGCTCCGGGGTGTACCGCGTGCAGATCCGCAGCATCTGTGGGGTGGGGGGCACGGAGTCACGGCGCCCAGGGACCCCTTCTGCTGGAGCAGGGGGCTCCGAGCCCCTGTGTTCAACCCGGCCTTGAACACTGCCAGGGATGGGGCAGCCACAGCTCCTCTGGGCACCCTGTGCCTGCACCCCAGCACTCTCACAGGGAAGAGCTTCTGCCTAAGAGCTCATCTCAGTCTCCCCTCTGGCAGGTTAAAGCCATTCCCCTTGTCCTGTTCCTACACCCCTTGTCCCAAGCCCCTCTCCAGGTTCCCTGCAGCCCCTTCAGGCACTGGAGCTGCTCTCAGGTCTCCCCTTAAGGAGCCCTCGCAGCATCTCCATGGCCTTGCTCCAACAGCTCCACGTCCCTCTTGTGCTGCTGCCCCAGAGCTGGGTCAGGACTGCAGGGGGGGTCCCACAGAGCTCAGCAAAGGGGCAGGATCCCCTCCCTGAGCTGCTGCTCACGCTCTGGGGGTGCAGCCCAGCACACAGTGGGGGGCAGTTCTGGGCTCAGTGAGCGTTATGGGCAGCTCCTCACCCAACAGCCCCAAGTTCTCCTCCTCGGGCTGCTCTGAATCACTCCTCCACCCCACCTGCGCCTGGGATTGCCCCAACCCAGGGGCAGAACCTTGCCCTTGGCCCCGTTGAGCTCCATGAGGTTTCCCAGCGCATCCAGATCCCTCTGGATCCCATCCCTGTCCTCCGCTCCATCCACACAGCCCATCACCAACTCGCCCGCATCCCATCGCGCCGCGGACCCAAACACCGCTCCCGATGGACGCGGGGCCTCACCAGGATGTCCAGGCACGCTGCCTTGAGCAGGGTGATCTGATCGGCCATGCTGAGCGCCGTGAAGCCGGGCAGGCGCTTGGCGAACTCCACGATCTTGATGATGCACTTGGTGGCCAACTCGCTGAACTTGTCCCACAGCC